TCACAACTTTAGAGGAGCCACTTATGTAAACATTTTTATTCAACTTTCCAAGCATTTATTTAGCTGTTACAGAAAGAAATCCCATTCCTATCATTCAGGGTTCTCCAGAGAAATAGAACCAATAGAAGATTCAATAGGAAATTTAGATAGATGATAGATGATAGATGGATAGATAGAGAGAGAGACAGAGAGAGAGAGAGAATTTTTGCTCTTAAGACCTTCAACTGGGGGCACCTGGGTGGCTCAGTTGGTTAAACATCCGACTTCAGCTCAGGTCACTATCTCATGGTTTGTGGGTTCGAGCCCCACGTCGGGCTCTGTGCTGACAGCTCAGAGCCTGGAGCCTGCTTCAGATTCTGTGTCTCCCTCTCGCTCTGCCCCTCCCTTGCTCATCCTCTGTCTCTGTCTCTCTCTCAAAAATAAATATAAATATTAAAATTTTTAAAAATACCTTCAACAAATTGGATGATACACACCACAGTATCGAGAGTATTCTTCGTTACCTAAAGTTAACTGATCGCTCATTCAAGTTTCTCACATAATGGTAACGTAAGCGTGTGTGCATGTGTATGTATTGATAAGGAATGTGAGATAATATTATTAGTTCTCTTATGTTTTGTTTAAAGCCAGCCTTACTGTATAGCACTTATGATGTTCCTTTATTAGTACCATCTACACTGTTAATCTGCCTCCAACCTCAAACATCTGCCTAGACTCCTATTTTTTGCTTGTTTACTTGTTTGTTCTGCTTGGATTTTCTGCTTAGCATCACTTCCTGACTACATGGACCAAGACTTAGCTGTGACCCCAAACTATTGACTGCAAACTTGTCCCCAAGCATCTCTTGACTTCTAATCCTATTCTAGTATGGACACCTCCACAAGTCTTTGCTTTTCAGGATGTATGTCCTTGCCTATCATCTATCTGAATATCATTCCCAGTGTTGGCCTGATTTCTAAGTTGTCCTCTTGATACTGTCATTTGGATGACTCACAACCCAGTGCATATTTCCCTTGTGTGACATTAGTGCTGGTCACCATGACTGTATTAATTCTCTTAGGCAATTAGATTATAAATTCCTGTTTTAGGTATCAGTACATCTTCTAGAATATTTTGTACATTGTAGACATCCATTATTTATTTGTTTAATTGAAACTGCAATAAAAAGAATAGCTTTATAAGAAGATATTGCTTGCCTTTTAAATTCTGTGATATATGGAATATGTATGCAATATACCTGTCAGTTAAATTTTGCCTAATTAGTCCCTATAGTTAACGGCATCAGGGAATCCTTCCTGAAACTCTCATACATTAGTCAAGAATGTAATGTATGTTGAACCACTATATTATACACCTGAAACGAATTTAACACTATATGTCAAGTATACTGGAATTAAAATAAAATTTAAAAAAGAATGTAATCTATAGTACTTGACCATTAATACACAATACTAAAATTGATTGAATATCTATGGTGTGATGGATAATCTACTGAATGCTAGGAGTTTAAGAGAAAAAAATACATAGTCTCTGTAAAAAAACTTAATGTGTGATGGAAGAAACAGATAAGCAGAGAAACAAATATAACACAACGTGATAATGTGATTGAACTAAGCACCTCATGCTATATGGGAGAGAGTATGGGTACCTTATCCAGTTATTAATACCTATACCAAGTCTTAATGAGAATTAGACTTTATACGATAAAACTTGGAGGGAAGGACCTTCCAAGTAGGGGGAGAAAACAGCACAAAAAATGTTCAAAGGAATAAGGAACCTGACATTCTTAGGGTATGGAAATGATTCAGTATGGTTGTAATGTAGGGAGAAGGAGAAAAGTAAAGAGGGATGAACAATTCAAATTATGTGTGATCTTGTGTACCCTGCCACAGAATTTAGAATTTATTCTAAAAAAATAGGCACTGAGTGAATTTAATTGTAGGTCAACATGACCAGACTTACATTTAAGAGATGTTTCCTCTGGGGTAAGTGAGGAGTATAGATTGAAGAGGGAGACTGGAAATATATATGATAAGAGTTCAAAGAAACATTATAGCAATGGAAAGGGAGAAAGAGAGGTAGATGAACTGAAGACTAGAAAGATAGTAGAATTGATTTGACTTGGAGACCTATGAAGTATGATGGAGAAGGATAAGTCACTGAAGAATTTGAAGTATCTGGCTTGTGGAACCTGGAGGCTGTTGTGCCAAGTTATTCACCGAGATAGTAATTCAGAAATAGAAGAATGTCTAGGTATGTATTGTGAGGGTAAATGAAGAAAAATGGGTCTGAGGAGAGAGGGGTAAGAAGGGAAGAGGTAGTGCTGATCTTATAAGACATGTGGCTTTGTCTGGGCCTTGAGATTAGAGGGGAGCAAGATTTGCCATCCCCCAAATGTGTCTCTTTGGCATGTGGATTGTTTTAGGCTGATTTCTTTTTTATGTTTTATTTATTTCAGAGAGAAAGAGAGAGAGAGAGAGGGAGAGAGAGCATGAGCAGGGGAGAGTCAGAGAGAGAGGGAGACACAGAATCTGAAACAGACTCCAGGCTCTGAGCTGGCTGTCAGCACAGAGCCCTATGTGGGGCTCAAACGCACAAACCATGAGATCATGACTTGAGCCGAAGTTGGACGCTTAACCGACTGAGCCACCCAGGTGCCTTTAGGCTGATTATTTTTAAGAAACAGAAGGCTCAGAAAGAACCTCTGACCTTTCCGCTAACTGCCTAATGGAGGACTTGCTCTGGGAAGTGAGCTACCACCATAGATAACTATAGTATACTGTAAATGAGGGGTGGTAGACAAGGAGGAACTTAGCAAAATCTGTTTGTTAAAATTCCTCTCTATATTCCATTATTTCTGTATGGCCCAGTAAATATATGATTACCAAACATTCACTCTTTTTCCTCCGTCTGTGAATTGTCTTCCTTTCCTTTGAAGTCTTAGACCTTTACACTGTTCTCCTTAGCTCAGAATGGCATGTAGGCCTCAATGGCCTGAATGCTCATGGGCCTCATAGTCCTATGGAGTCTCCAGTTATACATACTTAAATTTGATTTTCTCCTATTAATTGGTCTCATGTCAATTTATTTTTTTAGACCAGCTAAAAGAACCTCAACAGAGAGGAGAAAAAACTCCCCCCCACCAACAAGATTAAAAGAGATGTGCATTTATGTGTAGGGCACCAACACATAAAGGGTGATAAAGTTTTTGGCTCAGGTGAGAGCCCAAAGAATAGTGTACTTAATGAAGTTGATAAGGAACTGAAGATACAACCCCAAGGAACCTCCACAATTCCATGAATTTTACTGTTTTATAATAAGGTTTAAGAAGAGTCTGGTATTCTAGGTAAGGGAGAAATAAGCTGTGTCAAAGAAAAAAAATTGTAAACAGTTCTTCTCTGGGTATCATCATTCTGGTAAAATGGATGTCTGGCATCTACTTGATCTGGATATTAATATATACAAGTCTCAGGGGAAGTTCATTTACTTGGATAAAGGAAATAAAATAATAAATTGAAACCAAGTGACTGTACACAACTGAAGAAGAAGCCACATATAATTTACTGTAGACTTAAGTATAAAATACACACAAAAGCCATCATTTTTATACAGTGTATTTGTTAGTAATCCTCAACACTCCATCTTCTCTCTTTGCCCTTTCATCCCCTAACACATACACATAGAGGATCACATAGACATAGGTGACACACTCTCAGCTAAATTTGGCTATGAGACAGATCTATCCTGATCAAGCTTGTATCTTTTCATTTTTTTTAAATTAATGTTTATTTGTTTTTGAGAGAGAGAGAGAAAGGACATGTGAGCAGGGGAGGGGCAGAGAGAGAGGGAGACACAGAATCTGAAGCAGGCTCCAGGCTCTGAGCTGTCAGCACAGAGCCCGATGCTGGGCTTGAACTCACGAAGCACAAGACCATGAGCTGAGCTAAAGTCAGCCATTTAATTGACACCAACATGGCACCCCTCGTTTTAATTTTTTTTATGTTTATATCTTCTTAGATATTATTAGACTTTCATTATCTGTTTTACAAATCCTGTTCTACTGAATCTCAATGTATTACATGTCACATTCTTAACATAGAATCACTGGGAGAAATTTCTCAGTATTTCTATTCAGATTGAATATTTCAGGTACCTCTCCTCATATCTTTCTAGAAACCTTGCACTGCTCTTCCTGCTTCCATAGAGCTACATCATTTGGTCTTTCAAGAGTTTGTCCCTACACTGGCTCTCTTTTGCCTCTTTATTTCCCCAGGGAAAGCCTGTCTTTTTTTTTCTTTTCTTTTCTCTTCTCTTTTTTCTTTTCTTTTCTCTTCTTTTCTTTTTTAATAACAGCTCTTTACTGTGCTTCCACAGAGAAAAGAAGTATTTTCTCTTTCTTCTATTTATGGGGAAATATTTCCAGAATAAGACTGATCTAAAATTGGCTTCCTAGTTGCATATTTCACTGATAAAAAGACTTTCCTTTATAATACCATTAAACGTTGCCACCAGATGAAGCATGGTGTTTACTACTTACACATGCATTTAATCTTGTCTCTCTTTCTTGTAGGACACTATTGCCTTTATAGCTAGGGGAACCCAATGCCATGGGGGTGTGGCGGGTATGGGAGGTGCTACTCATTATTGGGAATTGATATAGATCCAGGCAGACAGATGATCCCGTAGAAAGCATGACTGAATCACTCAGAAGGTACAACCTAAAGGGAGTCGTGCTTCTGGGAATGTTGCTCCACTGCTTACTGAGTTCCAGCTTGAACAGAGGGCAGCAGTTTGCAGGGAGGCACCCGCTCCCACTGCACCCTGTAGGGCTGTAGAAATCCATGTAGTCTCCTCCATCACACACTCTAGTTTGTTTCCTAAAACCTGCCCCCTCCTTTTTTATTCCTGTTTTCAGCGTTTCTGTCCTTTTTCTTTTTCTTGGGCTTTATCTATATCTACTTTTGCATTTATAAAAGCATGGACTTCTTAAATGTCCACAGGTATGCCAAGTCTACCAGACAAGACTGTTACAATAGAAGAGAGAAAGACTGAACTCACCTCCTCTGAAACATAAGGTGGGAGAGATAAGCACTGGAATGATATAGTGGGAAAATACTGAAGGACAATATGGGGCCTATGTGATTAATTCATTTTTTTTAGTGTTTTACTTATTTCTAGGAGAGAGAGAGAGACAGCGTGAGCAGGGGAGGGCCAGAGAGAGAGGGAGTCACAGACTGAAACAGGCTCCAGGCTCTGAGCTGGCAGTCGGCACATAGCCCAACGCGGGGCTCGAACCCACGAACCACGAGATCATGACCTAAGCGAAAGTTGGACGCTTAACCGACCAAGCCACCCAGGCGCCCCTAAGTCATTTTTTAAAGTAAACTCTATGACCCCAATATCAAGTGTTGCATGCTCTACTGACCGAACCAGGCAGGTATCCCCAAAGTCATTTTGATTTTAATTGATATTTGTCAAAATTAGGCTCCTACTCTCCCACAGACTGGGAAATAGGGTGCGGTCTTTTTTGACAACTATATTTCAAAGAGATGACTCATAGTTCCTTGAGAAAGATTTTTCAGGTTTAAAACTGGCAAGAGGCTGGGGGAAAATTTATATCAAAGAGCAGAGAAAGAATTTACAATACTAAGTTTTGTAAAGTAAATGCTTTAAGGCAAGAAAGGTCAGAGTCTATCGTTCAGAAGAAACCACTCTAAAGTTTAGTCAAGCTGAGAGGAACATTAAGTTCATTTTGATCAAGAGTAAAATAAAATATTTGGTAAGTGTAATATCAAGCAAAATAAGGGTACTGGGGTGGGGATGCTATTTTACATGATTTATATGACTTTCTCCCAGTTTGCTCCTAGAATAAGGGTCTTAAGCTCCAGTTCCTAACTTAATAGGAACTAGTTGGTATTAGGGAGAAATATCTCCTAATGACAGAAATGTCACATTTGGCCTGGTATTTACTAGAAACATGGAGTCCTATAAGGTCTTCTGGTCTAGTTCTTGATCTCAGGACTTTTCTAGCCATTATTTCTAATGTATGTCATTAATTCCAGGGACATAATTTGACAACAGCAAATAGACTATTATCTTCTCCCACCCCAAGTTTTTAGACCCTCTAACCCAAAGGCCTGATTGTAACCATGTGCTGGATAATGTGGCCATCCTCATTTTCCTGAGGGAACGTATCCTTGCTAAATTTAGCCTGCTCCCATTCACCTCTAAAATCTGGCATATCTGCCTAATTATTCTGAACATGAAGTGTTCATACACTCTTTTTTTCTGGTCAATAGCATTATTCATGTAATCTCCGAGGGCAGGGAAGTCACCTCAGCACCTCACAAGTAATTCCCCCCACCTTGGATATCGAGGGAGACATTTTAGCAGCTCACTAGCTGAGGCAGGAAAAGTAAGTGGTTAAAAAAAAATAAATAACTTTTCATCTCCAGAAGGACACCTCTACTCCATTATACAACCTCTAATATTTAATATTCTTGTAAAAATGTGACAAAGCCTTGACATTTTATAGATAAGAAGACTGAGGCTAATAGAGTCTTGTTCAAGCCACATGACTGTTAAAGAAAAGAGGTGAGATATAAATGTAGGTCATTCTAATTCCAAAGTAAATTTTATTTCTATTCTTATAAGGCACTGCTAATCAAGTTTTATTCTTGGAAATAAGGGAGAAAAATCTAACTTCTGTTGTTTTTCCCCATGGAAAATGTATGTATGTATAGTGATGTCAGAATGAAACATATAAGAAATATTATCCTGGCCTATTGTAGAGTTTCTCACGAAGTTCAATAATTATCACAGAGTTTTCTATTCAAACGTTCTTTGCAGGAATAGATCATAGGGAAAAGGCTAACTGGTATAGATTATTTATATTTATTGCAACATTAAAAGTAGCTATCTTCGTAGCTTATTACTTCCCTTCTAGATTCATAAACTCAATAGTTTCATTCTCTTTGGAGATAAGAGTATTATAGAAGAAATAGAAAACCACAGGGCAAATTCTAGTTAATTTGTAGAATACAAACTACTTCACCTTGTTTTGGTTGTTTGCTTAAGGGATTTTTTTTCTGATAAAGAATTATAATTTAAAGTGCAGGAGTAGATTTTCCTTCCACATTATTTCACAGTTTGTCTCTTTTGTCTTGTATGTACCTACCATAATGCTGGTTCTAATCTTGGCTTATAGAATAATAGTTGGTGCATCCCTTTGAAAAACTAAGCCATGACTTTCTGTCCTCAATTTCTCAACCTAGAACTTATTCTGAATATCTCAGAAAATTCAGACTACATCTTCTATAGAAAAATGGGTTTGAAGGATAAAAAACTAAGACACCAGGTCCCAGGGTGCATTCATGGAGATGGGGCTCTGACTGCCACCTCTCTGGTGGTGCTCTGTCCTTCTGCTGCTGTGAGCATCCTGAGGCCAAAGAGCCCTTCTGTTTTTCACTGGCTCATTTCTACTCAGATGGGGGAGAGAGACATAAAAGCCTTATGGTGCTCTTACTGTAGCACCACCATATACCCAGAGGATTCTCCACCACAAGACCAGTTAGAGGGGAAAGTGTGAAACTCCCTCAATTAAGAACTATGTAAACATAGGTGTTAGATTTGTATATTTGAAAAGGTGACCTGTGAGTTGTAGAATTACGCAACATCACATGGAGAAGGGAGCATAAAAGGCCACATAGAATATGCACTGTCATATTTCAGAATTCCTTAAAAATCACTCAGAGATGATTGTTAGGTGCTGTTTCAGATTGTTGGATTCCTGTGTCATACCCCAATTATATTAAGCTTCTTGGAGTTGGTAACATACTTCCTAAGTATTTGATAGTTAGCTCTGAAACTCAAAACGCATATGACGAGGTTGTTAAATGGTGTCATGCACCTCTAAACCCACGGAATTAAAAAATGACAACAAATAATTCCTGAATGGCAATTTTCGTCATCACAGTCTGGGTAAAACCTAGCCAGACTCTAACTCTTTTACAGATTAAAAACCTCTCCTGTTTTCTCCTAAATGGATGGATTGCAAACTGATTTGATTTTGCCTCTTGCAGACATTTTGTGTCTGTGTCCCTGGGGAGAGACAAAAGGGCAGGAAACAGGGGTCACGGTAGAGGACAACGTCTGTTGTGAAAGGTGCCTTCATCACTCTGACGTGAGGCAGGTATCAGTCTTTAGGAGGCAATGAAGATGTGCTCCTCCGGTCACTACTGCCTCACCCCTCCCAACTGATGACAGAATATGTCTGAAAAGTAAAAAGAACTGTTTTACCTCATGACTTTAGCAAAAATGAAATGAAAAAGGATGGCTTTCTCCAAACTCCTGGGTAATTAATTTAGTCTAATGTGTCTGTTCTAGCATCCAAGTACTGAAGTAATAGGCGCCATGTAAATGTACAGATAGCTGGAGAGAGACCACTGTATTCAGACAATCTAATTACTGCTTGGTCCACCCAAAGTTAATAATGACTTAAAGCTCTTATTCATTTAAACTAATAGTATCTTACATGTTTTAGCAATTTTTAGTATTTAATGCACTTCTACATACATTTTGAGGAAGTTAGTGCTTAATGAACTTATTAAACTTGTTTTCATGATTTTAACATACAAGGTAGGTCACAGTGAGGACTCAAATGCAAGCCTAGAGACTCCAAGTGTCGTTTTATTTACAAGATGTGAGGGCATATGTAATCAGTCTTTCCAAATTCCTACAGTTATAGGGGAAATCTAAAGCTCTAGTTATAATGAAAATGTTATTTGGCTCAAATCTTCACCCAGATTTGATAGGACTGTAAAGTCACTCCTGCCTCTCATCAGGGGTTGGCCCCTCCTGAAAGGAGACTCCATAGTCTCCTTTCTCTGGTTTGAGTTCAGGGTCAATTCATTTGATGTAACACTAAATGCTGGATTTTTCATAGGATTTGTTCTCTTCAGTGAGTCTCTCATTCACCAAATAGGTTTTGAGCATGTACTAAGGGCTGGGTACAGTGCTGCAAACAAAGAACGTAATCAGGAAAAACAAAAAGAGACTTCCATGTCTTCTCTGAGATTTCAGTAGAGTAAAAGATTCAGAAAAGCTAAATGAGATATTATGCATCAGGTATAAGGAGGTTTCAAGGTTGAGATGGAAACACAAAGATAAACAGACAATGCAGACTGGCATTGCCAGGGATGGCTGCTTGAGGAAGAATCCTCTAAGACGGTCCATAAAGGATGAGTAAGAGTTAGGTGCATAAATGGAGATGAGATGGAGAGAAGTTTCCAGTCAAAAGGGAGAAGTAATTGATCAGAATTAACCACAATATACTGTCCAACCACTCCCCTGGAAGTCACAAGCCTTCAACAGTTTCTCGATTTACAAAGTAGTTATATCAGTGAGATTCTACTGGTGCAATTGTTGTCTAGGTGGAGAGACGGAGTCTTGGTACTTCCTGTTCTGCCATCTTCCAAAAATTCTTTCCTGCACTCATAGGTATTTGCACAAAAGAAATAAAAATGTATGTCCACAAAAAGCCTTGAACAAAAATGTTTATAGCAGCCTTATTTATAATCATTTAAAACTGGAAACAAGCAGTTGTCCAATGGGCATCCTTTCAACAGTCCAGTGCATAATCAAGTGTTGTATATACTGTTAAGTAGAATACTGAGTAGTATTTTACCTAACAAATAAAAAGCACCAAACTGACAATACATGTAGCAACGTAGATGAATCTCAGCAATGTTATGTTGAGTGAAAGAAGCAAGAAATGAAATACTACATACTATATATTTCCATTTATATGTAATTCTGAAATAGCACTAACTAACTATGATGACAGAAATCAGATAAGTGATTGCTTGGGAGGCAGAGGGAGGGTATTGGCTGAAAAAGGACACAAGAGAACTCTCCAGAATTATTTGTGTGGGTGTCAGGAAGGTATTCAAACCTTTTGAATAATATTCTTAAGATACTAGCATTTTATGGGGCGCCTGGGTGGCTTAGTTGGTTGAGTGTCAGACTTTTATTTTGGCTCAGGTCATGATCCCAGAGTCATGGGATTGAGCCTCACATAGGGCTCCATAGTGAGTGTGGAACCTGCTTAAGATTCTCTCTCTCTTTCACTCTCTCTCCCTTTCTCCCTCGGCCTGGCCCCTCTCCCCTACTTGTTCTTTCTCTGTCTAATATAAAATGAAGAAATGTTAAAAAAAAAAAGATAAGAGCATCTTAATCTATGTACATTATACTTCAAAAGGAAACATTTATTTTAAACTCACTAAAAATTGTCCCTGAAAATTTTACTTGACCTTGTTTATCAGCTGATTTTGAAAGTACATATGTGGATGATAACCGTCCATGAATTGAAAACACTAAATGGATCAAAATTTGATTTTGTAAGTTTGAATTCATGTCATTCAATATCTGTTTCATTTAGGTCACAGATGTATAAAATTGAGATACTGATATTAGCCAAACTCACTGGGGTGTCTGAGAACAAATTAATTAAAGATCTCTAAAATACTTAGCAATAAAAGCAAATTATTCTTTATATGCTATGCAATTTAACTTGACATGCAAAATGAAAAGCCATCGTTATGTTCCACAGTTATTATCACAATTTATGTTTTGATTTATCTTTAGAGCAGTAAGATTATGTTCAGAAATAAGTAAAAGAGGGGACAGGTCATTGTTACTTTGCATAATAGAGATCTGGTAATTAAAGAACCTCCTTGGAGATAAAGTTTTGTGTAAATATCATAGCATCTTAGTTACTATAAATAGGAGACAAATTTATTGAGTTACATAGCTGGGAAAGGGGGAAAAGTGCTTCACTGAGTAGGCAGAAGATGGGCACCTGGAAGCTAGTGGAATTATAAGAATATTTAGCCAAGTACCATTTCATATAGAACTAAAGGATGGTACTGTCCTTAATGGCAACACTGCTTATCAGGCCATGGAAGAATATAGAGATCCTTTAGATCATGACAGAAAGGTAAAGAGGTTCAGGCATGATGTAAACCACGGGTCACATCAAGGTATCCCTCAACTCCTTATGAATTACATTCAAATAAAGCATCTGGAGACGGCTGCTTACGCAACCAAATACTTAGAATTAAAGACATTTTCACCTACAACAATCCTGAAAATCATTCCAGTTTCTAAAAGGCCAAATATAGTTGGCAGGTATATAAATAAAGGAATATTTAGGAGGGAGGACCTGACATTTAGTCTATTTATACAGGTGAGGTCGACACGGAGCGTCAAGCCTGTCACTGGATGTGATGCAATTCATCACTGATACAACATCCTTTCAAAGTTAATCTTTAAAAATAAGGTGTGTCCCACAGCAAAGAAAAATTCCTTGTTCCGACATTGCTGACTCTGTTTTCTTGGGCAAGTTACTTAAACTCACTGAGCCTCTGTATCTCCATCAGTAAAATATGGATAATGGCAGTGCCTACCTCACGGGACGTTAGGAGGATTAATGATAAAATTCATGAAAAATATGTAGCGTAGTGCTTAGATTAAAGTCAGAACCTAGTAGGTGCTAAAGTCTAATATAGATGTATATACAGGCATACATATATAATTATAAATATTAGCAGAAGAAGATACAGATCTGACAGATACGCATCAAACTTTATGTGTTACTCGCGGCAGAGACTGGCTGAGGATTTATCAAATGGTCCCCTTTCCTCCTGGGTCTCCAGCTCGCTTACATGTGCCGACCTCCCCTGAAGCAATGTGATGCCAGGTCCCGAGTGCCTGACACTGGAATGGGTAGCAGGGTTGTGCGTCACCACTTTCAGGCCTGGCATATGAAATCCAACCATGAATTTCTCTACATTTTCTTCCCCCCTCTACCAGCTGCATGTTGGAGGTCTCTTGCTAAAGGGTGGAAAGACCTGGAAAGACCAGGGTGGAGAGACCCTGGATCTCTGGCTTCAGGGACTGAGAACAACCACCATACCCATCTCCACCTCCCTGGCCCTGTTTCTCAGAGTTTTAGGTGCATAAAGAATAAACTTCTATTGGAGTAAGTCTACTGGAATTTAGGACTCCATCTAGTGGAGTAACTAGTACACTAGGACACTAATAATTATTAAATGCAAATTCTATGTAAATTATAGAACATTGGCTTGAAATTTTTGCTGTGTGTATGATTAGCACAAGAGTGTCAGTGAGAATTTTGTTTGATTCCAAGTTGTAAAAAGGCTGTTGCCAGCAGCATTAAACACCTAGGGGGTTATTTTTCTTATAATAACATAGGTCCAATAAGCAAACAAACAGACAACACCATCAGTCCAGAAGTAGAATTTATTGCCTTATTCCTGCAGCCAATGTGTCTGGGAATCTTTTTCCTCATGATTGCAACATGACTGCCGCTCACACACTACGTTCAAGACAAGAAGAAAAGTAGAAAGGCTCACTGCATCTGTCTCCTTCCATCAGAGATGTCGAAGCTTATCCACACTTCTCAGCAGATATCAACTCAAATCTCACAGATTTCTGCCAGAGTGTCATTTGTCACCACAAGCCATAGGAAGGGTGGAAAGTTTCTATTTTAACAGAAACCTTGTTGCCCCAGACATATTATGGTTCTGTTACCAAGGAAGAACTGGAGAATAAATATTTGTTAACTAAGTGACTATGTCTGTAATTTGCAGGTGTGATAATAAATTCCTGTTAAAAGTTTTGGTTCCAGATATTTGTCCATACGGGGGCTAAAAAGACCAAGAAAAAGTCAGAAAGTAGTCTATTTTTACCAAATGCCAAAAGTTAACAGAAATAATCATATCTACAAACAGACCATATAAAATCATGCGTTGATAACTTCTGCTTCTGTGTGGAAGACTGCTTGCCACGTGAAAATCCAGCCATGTTCAAGGGGTTGGTCCTGGTCCACGCATGATACAATAAGAAAGAAAGAAAAATATACATGCATACAAATACTTTTAAAATGATGTGAGGAAAGAAAGGAGAAAGTACTTATAAGAGGTTTCTGGGTTAGTGGTACCTGAGTGGCTCAGCTGGTTAAGAATCTGGCTCTAGCTTTCAGCAAAGATCATGATCTTACAGTTTGTGAGTTCGAGCCCCACATTGGGCTCTGTGCTGGCCGTGTGGAGCCTGCTTGGGATTCCCTCTCTCCCATCGTCTCTTCCCCTTCCCTGCTCACTCTCTTAAAAAACAAACTAAAAACAAAAAAACAACAACAAGTTTTCTGAGTTAAGCCCTCAAAGTCTCCCATCTATATAGTGGTTATTCAATCAACTTCTGCATTTCAATTTAACTTAGTTTTAATTTTTAATTAATCAGATAATAATTTCCTTATTTAGTTTGAGTGCGTGATGGCAGTGAGGAATATATTAGCTTCTTTTTTTTAAATTTATCTTGTCAGGACTTTCTAATTAAGCAACTTTCCTGTGTGACTCATAAGTAAACCTTTCACCCAGTCAAAAACATCTGGAAGCCACATTTGTATATTTATGACAGATTTCACTTGCTGTCATGACTCATGGATGATAATTATCACATATTTGAAGATTGACATTTCCTTCCTTTTTTTGATATGGGGGTAGTTTAAGCTGAGACATTCAGCAACTAATGAAGATTTTTATGTGCTGTGCATGAATCTACAGTATTTACATATTCTATTAATTTTCCATGCAAATGTTTTCCTTCAGCATAAAAAATAATTATGTGTGGATATATTTACTTAATATACTTTCTGTAGTTACATGTTAATTATTTATGAATTATAATTATTTAAGTGAATTTCAGAGTAGGCATGTTGGGAATTTTATCTGAAAGCAAGCTTTTTTGTCTGTAAATATTCCAAATAAACATTCATCATTGCCAACTTTTATGACTGGTTAATACTTTTTTTCTTTCTTTCTTTTTTTTTTTAAAGCAAAGGCAGAAATGTGTAACATTGACCTGAAAACCTTGATGGGTATAAAATCTTTATAAGTAGGCACTGCATTTTAATTTTATTACTCAGGATAATTTTTTCTCATTAGATCATGCTCACTGAGGGGGGGAGGGTACTAACATTGTGTCAATGGCATAGACAGTTCTCATCTAAACTAGTTGATTCCTGTACTGCTTATAAAAGCATATGGGGCATAATTCTTTCTCATTTTTGTTAAATAATTATTGCAAACGGGCTATATATTTTCCATCTTAAAAACAAATAAACCCAGCCTTGACCTCATGTTCCTTTCAGCAATGATACCCATATCCATTTCTCTATTGCTGATTACAGCAAAGTGTACTGAGAGCGTGGTTAATACTTATAATTTTATTCCCTTTCTTCCTTCTTTCTCCTAACCAGGTCTTCATCCCATCACTCTCTTGAAATCTTATTTTCAGGTTATGCAGACTTCCATTTCACCAAACAGGTCAATAATCAGTCTCCTGATCACCTGATCTATCAGAAATACAACATTCTTCATCATTCCCCTTCTTATAATAGTTCATTCTGTTGATATCCGGGGAACCCACCTCCTTGGATTTGCTCCTACCACACTGAGCCATCTTTCTCAGTCTTATAGGCCATGTCCTCTCATCCTTCTGACCTTGAAATGTTGGGTCACACTACGTTTTAGTCTGGATTCCCTTTTCCTCTTCACTTTATACCCATTCTCTAGGTGATCTTATATAATCCCATGATTTTATACCATACAGTCTGTATGCTAATAATGCCCAGATTTATATTTGTGCAGCTTCTCTCCTCTGATTTAAATATTCAAACTACAAGATATCTCCTCTTGGAATTAATATTTACAGAAAAAAAAAAAAAAACAAAAAAAAAAACCCTTTCTTTGCTTCTCTCCAAACTTGACTTCCTAGTGTCCTGAGTGTGGTAAATGGTACCACCATTTGATAAATGACACTGAGTTTGATAAATGGCATTTATTTAGTTGTTCAGCCCATTTTTTACTCTTCTGTTTTTCCGCACACTTTCCTCCAGCCCATGAGTCGATTGCACAGCTTTTCCCTCCAAACATATCTGGCATTTGATGATGCAGCCCCTCCTTCAACCACTATCCACCTTTCTCCTGAACAATTGCGATAGCTTCCCAGTTCTGTACTCTTGCTCCCTAAAGTGTTTTGTCCACCCCACCATCTAAGGAAATTTTTATATCATAAGATCTTGTGAGGTCACTGGTCTTAATTCTCCATTTTCATACTATGATTCTCAGAATGAAAACAAAGTCTATATCATGCCCCGTGTGATCCTACAGCTCCAAATGCTGTTCTACAGGTACTAACATGGTTTCTTATTCACTCCTTTTAGGCTTTTGAGAGAATTATTCTCTTTAGATAGACCTCTGACATATCTTCATAGCAGTTTCTATTACTCTATCTCCTTACCCTACTTTGAGGTTATTATACTAAGAACTGATGGATATTACATTAAATATGTGCTTGTTTGTTCAGTGTTTCTTTTACTTACTAGAATATAAACTACATTGAGGGCAGGAACTTCATTTTATCCATTTAGATATTCTCTAGGCCTGGACTCATATTTGGCCCAACCAATTTCCTTACTGGGCTTCCATAATATATAGAATTGTTAATATTGCCAAAATCATTCCTCTATCTCACAATACTGCTCCCCCCTTGTTGGCTTGTTTGTTTAAGATAGTCCACTTAATATTACACATATTTTCTCTTTTTTAAAAAATTTTTATGTTTTATTTATTTCTGAGAGAGAGAGAGAAAGATAGCATGAGCAGGGGAGGGTCAGAGAGAGAGAGAGAGATACAGAATCTGAAACAGGCTCCAGGCTCTGAGCTGGCTGTCAGCACAGAGCCCGACGCGGGGCCCGAACCCACGAACCGTGAGATCATGACCTGAGCCAAAGTCGGACGCTTAACCGACTGAGCCACCCGGGTGCCCCTATATTACACATATTTTCTATCTTCTTTTAACAAAAGGAGACAACACTGTCACCTACCTCTATAACTAGCATAGAGAAAAGAGTTAACCTGGACAAATTTTGTTCTGAAAAGAGTCACAACTTTGGTTATGTACATCTGAGACATGAGATATCCATTCTCGGGGAAACGTAGAGCTGTGCTTCCCAAGATGTTTCATCTGACATCAGGAAAACAATGTTATTACTGACGACCCTGAGTGTTTAAAGGTGCCTATCTCAGGTTGGCTTAATAAAATTAATTGTATTTTCCAAATATATTTAAAAACATAATAGAGAACCAATTAAATAGTGAATGTGTATAACATTTCAAAATAAAGAGTTTTAAAATTTTAAATGAGAACCTCGAATTTTCTTTTACAGGCATGGCTTTTTCAAGTCAGGGTTTATATATGAGATGCTGCATGCAATCCTGAGCAGCGGATAATCTCATCAAACTTCCAAAACTCCCTGTAGACAAGACATATTATTAGCATCCATAGATGATGAAATTTTAAAAATTATGTTTATTTTTGAGAGAGATAGAGAGATACAGAGTGGGAGCTGGGAAGGAGCAGAAAAAGAGGGAGACACAGAATCCAAAGCAGCCTCCAGGCTCCAAACTGGCCGCACAGAGCCTACTGCAGATCTCTAACTCAAACCACAAGATCATGACCTGAGTCAAAGTCAGACATTCAACTAACTGAGCCACCCAGGTGCCCTGATGATAAAATTTTTGATAAGATATTTCTTACCTTACATATTGGTAATTGTAATTTACACCAATTTGGTCAGTACAAGTCAAAATGTTACAACTGGAATTGTATTTAAAGAACTGAAAAGACTTCTTTTCTTTCATTGATGATTATGAAGTTAAAATTTCTGAGGGCAAAACACAGTAACTTCCAATCATATTGAGTATTTTCATGTTAAATATAGTATATCAAGATAATCATGGAACTCTGGTTTGAAACATGGCACCCGCATAG